AGGTGAAACCACAGGGCACAGTGAAAGTATTCCTAAGGAGCTCTGCTTATGAAGCTTTGGCTACAAAACCTGGTGTACACTATCCTGATGTGGTGTGGGATCACTGAGACCCCTGCTGTGAATCTCTCTCAGTTAATACTGTCTTAAAATCAGAGACATACAAAGGAAAAGAACAGAGGACTAGAGAGCACAGCAAATATACGACACCAGGAATTTGTCACATCTGGAACAAAAGAAAAAGGAGCTGTCAGTACTGTTGACAACAATGAAGAGAAGGAAAGGACAGGGAACAGGACACAAATGTTCTGAAAATCCACTAAACTGTTGTAGAATTCCAGAAAAATGAAGATTTTGGTAGATCTGTCAATGGCATTGCTAGCCAGGCTAATGACATTCAGGCAGACAGAAAATGAGTAAGTGCTTTTTTGGGTTACAGGATGAATTACAGGCATGTCTACCAGGATACTCATCTGGCATTCAGGGGAATGTAAAGAAAATGCTGTGGATGAGCCTCTAGGCAAGTTCCATGACATTCTCATTGTGGAAGAATTGAATAGGGTAACACTGAAACTTCCAGGCACTCCTTCTTGGGCCTCCATTACCACTTCTACAAAGAAGGGGCTCAAACACAACCATTCTGACATACTATTCTGCTGGGCAATGAGGGAAGAATAGTGAATTTAAATTTAAAATACTGATAAACACACAAAAGTTAGGACATAAGCATTGCATTGACTGTGGTAATTTTGTTCCCCATTTTTCTAAGTGGAATCTTTGGTGTACCTTCACAGAAACAACATTCCCATACCTTGGGCCTCTGGAATATTCAGCAGCAGATACAAGGACTGTGATGAGCACGAGACTCTTTCATGCACGTCCACCACAGAGCTTTGCTTAACAGAAGAGATGGAAAGCCCCTGTGTGCCCAAGACAAGCATTTTCCAGAAAAAATTCATACAGCTCCAGTAAATAAATACCTGCTTTGGCTCTCAGCTGAGCAAACACGAATGTTTCAGTTCTAACTGTTGGGAAAATAACCATAATCACTTCAGTTCTATCACAATATTTTCCACTGAGTATTTTTTTCCTTTAAAACTTGATTAAGGTAAGGTACTTCAAGACTGCTGGCAAACAAACAAAAACTAAACATTTCTGTAAGCCAAGCTTCAAATGCTGCAGTATTGGTGGGTCCAACAAAGCTGTTCAATACTCAGTTCTGAGACTCACCTCTAAAGAAAATTTGTGACTCATTTTCTGTGATAATTTTCCATTCTATAAATGCAGATATAATACTGTACTTATGATCAACTTGCTACATAGCTTGTTGTGAGTGACAATATGAGAATGAAATGTTAACATAATTAACTTTCTGTTGAACAAGATCATGACAAGATCCTTTTACTGAAACACTGAATAGGAACCATGCAGTTTCAGAAGCATAAATCTGAATTAGAGGAGGCACATGAGTCATCAGTACATAGCAATACTACCACGAAAAATGTTTCTGCATCAATCATTAATAAGGTTAAAACTGACTTTGCAGATCTTAGAAAGCAACAAAACAGAAAGCACTAACTCCCAGATATGTACAAGTTTCTGTTTAATTTTTTTCTCTAGGTGAATTATTGTATAAATGAATGGTGAATAATTACAGACTAGGTGAATAATGAAAGAACTCCATATGTGGTAAACAATGACTATTAAAACAACATATACAATGATTGTGGCAGTGGTGGTCATGTATGTTTTCAGACAGAGTACTTATGTAACACACTGTAGTAACGTCAAGAAATAAAAACAGTCTGTTTTAGAAAAGAATTTAGTCAGTGTAGCAGAAGACCAATTTGTATCTTTGTTCCAGCCATTGCAGATTTAGAAGATGTAATGGGAGAGGGAAAGACTAGTGCATGTATTCTCTAACTACAACTTTTCATGTGTTTTTCTGCATTCTTAATGTGTTGTAATACAGATCACATCAACCTTCCCACATCTCCAGATCACAAGGTCTGGAGCTTCATTTATTTCAGACAAAATAGACCCAAAAGATTTTGTGTGGAGACCTAGCTTTTCACTCAGAGACTTCATTCACCTGCACAAACTTCATGAGTTAAAAAACTCAAACTCTTGAGAATTTACTCAAGTGTTTTAAAGGAAATCAGGGATGAAATAGCTGAATTACTAACCACAGTATCTATTAATCTAAAATTGCTTAAGTATCTCAGGACTAGATAGTGGTAAATGATCCCAGCTTTTAAAAGCAGGGATGAGGAAGATTCATGAACCTACATCATGATTCAATCATAGGGCATAAAAAACCAGTAAAAAATTATGAAATGCAGAACCTATGAACACCAGGATAAATGCATTTATTTGGTGGGAGTCACCATGTGTTTTGTAAAAGTGATTCCCATTTTTCCAGTCTGATGATGTTTTTTGAAAGGGCTCTACAACAATGTACCTATAAACTGTTTGATGCAGTCCAATTCCCACTACCTTTCAAAACTGAATTAAAACAGAATGAATTTTATAAACATATTTGTTTACTAACTAGAATTTCCAGGAAAGCATTTGAGAAAGTCTCTCAAACTTCCAAGAAAACCAAGCTGCCATATAAAAAAAATTGCACTGAAAACTTCCTTTTAAAATTCAAACAAGTAGACAGTTCATACATGAGAGAAACAACATCAGCAGTATTTCCAAGTAATCTGCTCCAATTTCTATCATGTTCAATCAGTCATAAATGATCTGGAAAAGTAGCTACTGAGGGATAAGGGCAGTGCAAATAATAAAATAGAACTTCTTTTTAATCACTGCTACTGCAATACTGCATTTCACTATAGGCCCTTATCCTTCCAGAGGCAGCAACTGAGACCTAGCTTGTTGAGGATATTACCTCTGAGGCTGTTTCTTTATTGGAAAGTTGGGTGCAAGGCTGATGACAAGTTCAAGGACTACTTTAAGTTTTCCAATAGCTGTTTGTCAACACATGCTGATTACGTAATATAAATCCACTGCTTATTTTTACAGGCCACTAAGTATAGCCCGTTAATGCAGCTCAGCAGCACATGCCTAAGACAAATGAGTCTTTCCACTAAGGGTTTTGCTTCATAAATTTCCTCATGATGGACTTAACTGCTCCATGACTGTGTGTTCAATAAAACTTAATAGGGAATTCAAGGCTCTAAGAACATCTTGGTTGGTTGATTGAATAATCAGCTATTTCACAGAATTATTTGGGTTGGAAGGGATCTCTGGAGATCATCCCATCCAACCCACTGTCAAGACAGGGTCACCTGGAGTAGGCGACACAGGAACACACTCAAGTGGCTTTGGAATGTCTCCAGGGAGGGAAAATCCACGAGCTCCCTGGGTAGCTGTTCCAGTGCTCTGCCATCTTTGTAATGAAGATCTCACTCGTGCTGAGGTGGAACTTCTGTTTTATTTTATGGCCATTGTTCCTCATCCTGCTGATGGGAAGCACTGGGAAGAGTCTGGCACCATCCTCTTAGCACCCACTTTTGAGATATTGATGTGAATTAATGAGATCCCCTTTGAGTATTCTCTTCTCCAAACTAAACAAGCCCAGCTTTCTCAGTTCCTTCTCTTAAGAGGGATGCTCCACATCCCTCATCGCTTTTGTAATCTCTGCTGGACCCTCTCCAATAGCTCCTTGTCTTTCTTGCTCTGAGGAGCCACCAGTGGGATAATAAAGAATTGAAAAATCTACCCATCAGAACCCAGCATTTTAAAGAACATTACAAGAGAAAGCAATCAGACAGAAAAAAAGGACATCACAGTTTTTCAGCACAGAACAGTTTTTACACAGGCCGCTGTACCTTGCTGGGGGGGAAGCGTACACCTCAGTACCTGCCTGAGGGCAAGTTTTTTATTTTACTTACGCAAGTCCCTGCAGCTGCAATCGCAGAAGTACCCGAGCGCACGATGCGAAGAGCCAGCAGGAGCAACCGCAAGAAGTGAAACCTGTCACAAACACGGTTTGGGAACAAACAGCAGTCACCTGGCAGCTGGTCCCCAGCTGGCGACCGACCCCGAGCGCATCCCACCTCGGGCACCCCCTCACGGCCGCGGGCTCCGCGCTCGAACGGCCGCCGGGAAGTGACGCATGACCAGGGGTCACGGACGGGAAGCGCTTTTGGGCCCCGGGACCGCTTTTTCCTTTTTTTTTTTCTGTCTTCCCCGTCCCTCTCGCCCCTGGCCCCACTTCGTCAGGAGCGAGTTAAAAATCATCTTCCCGCCCGGCCGTGCCTCGTGCCGGTCCCTGATCCGCTGGAGCGGGCGGGCTGAGGGAGCCGGAGGGGCGGGAAGGGGGAAGCAGGACTAGGAACGGAGGAAGGCGAGGATGCCGCTAAGGGCCGGGCTGAACGGGACAATGCCGCCGGCTCTCGGGGTTGGGAAGAGCGGTGAAAGCCGGGGAGAGGGGCCGGGAGGGCGAGAGGTTGCGGGGGCAAGCCCCGACTACAGCTCCCAGGCTGCCCCGCCAGGGTGCGGGCGCCGTGCGGCTGCAGGAGCACTAGTGAGGGCACCCAGCGGGACCGGGGAACTGCTACTCAGAGTACACCACACGCCGGGAAGCAGGGGAGCGGCCCAGGCGCGGCTGAAGGGAAAGTGGCCGGGGCAGGGAGCGGAGGCCGCTAAGACCCCGCACTGCTACAACCGCGGGATCGCTCCGTCTGCCCGCGGCCATGGACTGCACGCAGGGGGAGGGCCTTGCGGTACCGGTGCGCCGCGCTTACTGGTGGTCACGGCTGTCTGTCAAGGCGATCGTGCCCTCCCATTGGCCGTCGCCTTCCGGGCGGGCTCTGCTCCGCGTAAGCGCCGAGCGGCAGCACTCCGCGGCAGCTCCGGGGGGAGGGAGCCACTACGTTTATTGGTCCGCGCGGCCGTCCATCATTAGCGCTCCACGCAGCCATTGGTGGCGGCAGGCCGGGGGGCGGGGCCTCTCTCCCCGCCGCGGCAGCAGCAGGAGGAACCCGGGCGGCGCTCGGCGCTGGGTTCGGCGCCCCTCGTGTGTGAGGAGCCGCGACCCGCCGGTCGCGGTGTCCCGGGAAGGAGCCCGGGTAGGAATCCGGGAAGGAGTGCTCCGCCCCGGTGAGGAGCCCGGGATGCCGTCGGGAAAGGCACTCCCGCGGGCGGGGGTCGCAGTGCGCTGAGGGAGGAGGGGGGGCCGCGCCCGCACTGCGCAGAGCGGGGGCAGCGCTGAGGGTGGGGGGCGCGGCCGCGGGGCCGGTGGGTGCAGCCCGGCCGGGGGTCGCGGTCCGGCGGCGAGAGCCCGGCCCTTCCCCTTCCCTAATATAGCCAGGGCTGGCTGGAGTGGGACACAGGGCTGTTCATCTATTATGTTTTAATTTTCTTAAAATTTCTGCCGCATGTTGAATAATTTTGTATGTGGGTATATCTATCGTATTATAGTATAAAGTGTAAGTAGACTCGAAAGCAAGCTACGTCACAGCCTGGTTTTTACCATCTCTTTTAAAAACGTTTTAAAATGAGTTTTCAGCACCGAAGAAGGGTTTCACTTTATGAGGAAGATGGAACGAGAAAGAAAAAGAAGTGAGGAATAGCTGTTTCTTACATGGGATCTAAGAATTATTCAGATCATTCACGTGAGATTTGCACACATCCTACATGTTGGTGGATCTGTGTGATGTCCATAGAAAGCTGGATTAGGAGGGTGATGGAAAAAAAACAAAAAAGAGTGGTGCCCACTAATCTTAGGGTGCATTGCCACATAGTACAATCTACCATAGTATTTGTTATTTTGGAGTAGTTTTGCTGATAGTCTTAATTTTAAATTTTGATGCCCCTTTCTCATTGACCTGGAACCGAAGAGATCTTGTGTGCCCAAAGCAAAATAGGGAATGTGTTGGGTTTTTTTTCTCTTGCAGTGTCTGACACTGGCCTTTTTTCACTGAGGTATTAACCTGCAGTTTTTAATGAGGTTGCTTTCGCCTGACTTGTCTTCCACAAGGAGTAATGTATTTGAGACATGTTTTTGGCTGAATATTAAGCAGCAATTTTACAGGGAAGTATGTCTTGTGAATGTTAGATTGGGAATATTTATTTACTAAGAAGTGAACTATTTACTGTCGAATTGAAAGGAAAAATGAAGTTCTGATTATTTTCCAAACTGTTTTGTTCAAATAGTTTGCTATTCAGGAGAAGGAAGTGGCAATGGAAACACATTTTCTTTGAGTCTTCCATTGGCTTGGCATGCAGCTGATATTAAGCCTTTGTTTTACAGTAAGTACTGTGATGTCAAGCGTTTGAGTATTTTGTAGAAATTAAGAAACTTATTGCTTGTACTCCTCTATTTACTGAAGTCCCAATGGCAAAAAATTATGTTAAAACTAGTGTCCATTTAAATCTTGGAAGATCAAAAATGTGGTACTTTACTTGAAACTGCACTGCTTGGCCACTATTTTAGAAAACTGTAAATTGCTATCAAGATCAAGTAGTAATTTTCTCATGAGTAAAAACAGGTTTGATTTAATATCAGTAATTTTGAGGGCTGTGCAGTGTACTGGGTTTGTTATCAGTTCTTCAGAAGCTATTTGTTAAAGATTTGGGAAGGGTCAGTCACTAAATCTGCTGCAGCGGTTGTCTGTATTTTGTATTTTAAGAGGAATAAAGGAAAAGCTGAGGAGACTGGCACTACTACTTTGCTCTTTCTCATCTTAAACAACAATTCTGCCTCTGCCTTTTTTTCTTCTTTTAACTTAGATTAAGTTTTTTGCTTTCATTTCTTCTCTTTCAATATATGTGTGTTACACCATAGTCTTTATTTTGTATTGCTGGCTTAAAGTCTGTCCATGAAACTGCTTTAAACCAGCTGAATGGTTTAGGTCAAGTGCTCTAGGCTCAGCTCTGGATAGAACACAAATGCCACCGGTTTGGGGTTTACTCAGTTAAAAGGTGCTGTCAGTTTGCTACAGTGGCCAGTGTTAATTAGACTTCATGTCTTTGTATCGCCACTTTGACAAATCTACTTCTCCCCAGAGTTAATTTGACTGAGAGATGTAGACCCTCATCTTTTTAAATATCTTTATGTGTTTAAAGTTTCAAGGTGTTGTATTCCAGGCTTTTAAAAGTAACTGATACAGTTGCATTTTTTTGACACTTTGGGGAAAATCGGCCTTGACACCTTGTTCTCTGAGAGTGAGTTGTCAGGTAATGGAGCAATGTAAACTTTGAATTTGCTATAATGTGGCATACAGTCCATTTTATAAAAATCTTTTAAATATATCGGCAGCATGGTGAGCTAGACAACTCTATGCTATAACTTTTACTACCTGGATAAAAATATGAACCACATTGGATGTCCTGATTAATTGAAGTGATATGCATCTGAAATTTTTCAGCGGTGCTCGAATTCTTATTTCAAAGATACGAAGAGAGTTAAGCAGTAGCCAGTTCATACAAAGTGCTGTAATTCATGGGTGTGACAGCTAAGGAGCTTTCGATTGGAGTGGGAGAATTTCCCGTAATCCTGGCATCACTGGGCTCAAGGACTGCAAAGGTGTTGTTGAGCCCAGTGGGGCTTTTAGTGGCAGTTTTCCTGTGTCCATCCCACCTAGGAATGGCCAGCTAGAAATGACCCAGAGGTTTTTGTTAAACGCTGCATTCCACATTGAGCCTCTTAGTGATGGAAAGAGGAGTAGTTTGGCAGTGCAAGACCTGAATAATAAGGTCATTCACACCCTATTCTTTTAGGCAAGAAGAATCAATGTGACTTCCTTAATGGGATGGATACTCTGGCTCAATGGGAGCTCATTAAAGGTGTGGTTATGTGGTTCTTGGTGTATTCTCCTTGACTTTTCTTTGAGGTGGTAGACGAATGTGCTTTATAACAATGCTAGGAGATTTTGGAGAGTGGTGTTGGAAAGCTGTCTTTCTGGGAGATGGTAAGTCAGCAACAGATTATGATTAAATATTGTTGGGAAAATGGCACTTTAGGCCTGCCTATAATCTTATTTTGGTTTCATAACTTGTTGAAGGAATGTTTTAGAGGAAATAATGTCTGGAAACAGATTTATGAAGGGCAGCAGCCTTAATTACAGAACAGCTTGCACTGCTACCTCTTGTGCATAAGCTAGTCTCCTGCAGTTTAATGTATGTATTATGAGAATCCTGTCAATGTGTCATTTTTTGATATGCACTTTTCTCCAATCTATAGAATTATGTTTCTAAGAATATTTGGTTATTGTATGTTTGGATCCACACTGCTGAAGCAAAGTGTAGATTTGAGATGGCTGTGGGATGCTTATTCCAGGGCTTCTTTTCTATTGCTTATCTTGGATCTCTGTAAGGAAATGGGGCATTACCTCTGAGGAGACATTAGTTTTTGCATAAGCAATTATATTCTACATCGTTCACCTGTCTTTTTTCATCTGCTGCCGAATTTTTGTTCTTTATTCTCCTTCCCAACATCTGTTATTTTTGTTCTTTAATCTGTAACTTAAATTTGTGTATAAAATGGAATTCTCTCCCTTATTTAGCACTCTAAACTTTTCTGTCCATTCCTCAGTTTTGTCAGCAAAAACTAACTGCAGTGTACTGCAGTGTATGAAAGATCTTTGTCCAGTTGTGTATGGAGTGGTTTGAAGGCTGAAGCTTGTCAGGGCAAATGTCATAAATATCTTTAAAGCTGTGACTACATAGCATAGCAGAGTTGCTCCATCTTTTTGAAAGCATGGTTTTGGATAACTTGCATCTCTGAGTCAAAAAATAACCTCTAAAAGGCATCAAAACAGAAGATATCATCGCTGGATTTGGTTTATCAAAAATCCAGTCCCGAGTTTTGTACTTTTCTAGAAAATGTTCTGTATAGTTAGTGAGCTCTTAACCTACTGAAATCATTGTAGGAATTGTTCCCAGCCAAGTGAAGTGTGATAGGTTGCTGTAGGTATCCAGCTAAAACATTTTAATTTATGTTAAGTGAAGCAAGACATAAATAGATGCAGTCCTTGCAATACCTGCTGCTGTGAAAGAGGCCATCGTGGTGCCATATCCTTGGTTTTTTGTTCCTGTCCTCTGCCACCTCCTCTGCTCTGTTTAATGAGCTGTTACTGGGAGCACTTTCCGAACTTCTGTCTGTGTAAGATGTAGGTCTCTTATTCTATCATATTGAAGCATCTATTGGGAGACTTGGAGGAGCAGTTTAGCTGGCAGATGGAGAAAATGGTGACTGGAAGTGAGATCAGTGACTTCTTTAGTGCAGCTGACTCTGGAAAAGGCTGTTGGTGTGCAGCTGGTGAGTGAAGTTTGAACTAATTTGAGTGCTTCTGCCAACAGCAGATTGAGGAGTGTTCTCACAGTCCTTTCTCCTGTCAGAGCTCTGGGCATCAAAACCACCTGCTGGTGCTGAGAAGCTGGAAGCAGTTGCATCATTGACCAGTGATGGATCCACAGGCAGATTTCCATCTGTTTTCATGTTCGAAGTGAACTTGGAAGAATTTGGTATGTTCTTGTGGAGATATGGCAGGAATTTTGAGAGGTATTGGAGAATTCCAGGCTTAGATCAAATGTTCAGTTTTTGTACCCAAATGAGGCAGTAGCAAAATGAGGAAATCAGTTTGTGGGGAACTCTTGTCCATGTTATCACAGCATGATTTGAAGCATTTCAATAGATGGTACAAAAAAAAGCCTTTTTCCTTTAAAGCATTGTTAATCCCTCGATATTTTGGAGGAAGAGCTCCATTTCAGGTTCAGTGTGCTCTGTAGGTGTTTAAAAAGAGTATTAGAATCTTTCTAATTCTTTTTTCTTTTCTAAATCTTTCTTTTGTAATTCCTTAAATCTATTCCATAACTTAAAGCAAGAACTGAGCCTTTACCAGTTCCTGTCTTCCCCACGTGTAGCTGGATTGGTTAGCAAAGCTACACACCTCGGCAGACTCAAATAAAACCTGGTTTGCCTTTTTTTAGTTGATGGGTCCTTATCCTTCCCTTTGGGAAGTCAGATTATGTCTGATCAAGAACTTTTGCCTAATGGCTTTCCAAGGGAAAGCGAAGAGAAACGGAATAATTTTCTTGTGGTAGTGATATACTTTAGTGGCAGAAACTGGTAAAATGACAATTAGATTCTCAGCATC